CAAGCATTCAACCTTTTCCAAAATTCCGGTTACAGACGAAGCAAGCAATCCCTCCCACCCACCCCTTAATTACAGTAATTGCAGTTTCTGAGTAATACTTTCATAATTTTGTATGGTTTGTTGCTGCTGTTTTGTGTTTTTGTTTTTTACAGCGAAGACTCTTCGATCCTCTACACCGTTAGGACATGGAAGCTCCACGTTATGGCTTTACTTGTTGTGCTGTTCGACTTTGCTGAACTCTCCTCGTATCATCGTTTGGCTGTGGCCGAATTTTGCTTGAAGCACGCTGCAGGTTCTGTTATCTTCCAGGATCTGCGGCCAATAATTGTGCTTCCGTCATTGTGCCATTGCTATTGATTCTACGTCATATACTATTGATAAAGTCGACGTAGACCATTGTTTGTGAACTCATTGTTTATCATTGATCTATTGAACTATTGAACAGTTATTGATCATTACATATATTATTGATCTACCCATCTATTGAACTATATTGAACAGTTATTGATCATTACATGTATTATTGATCTTTGCAACTATTGAACTATTGAACAGTTATTGACCATTGTATATATATTCATTGTCTGATTATGCATATCTCATTTTATCTAAAAGTAAAGCCATGACAAAAAACTGCCAAACCATAGTTGCTTTATTCTATCGAAATAATGAATTATACGGGAGTTCTCAGGACTATAGTGGCCAACTTTTTTCAAGGCCAACTTCCTCTCACTTCCATTTTTTTAAAAATACAATACTATATTTCCTTGATGTCACTTTACTGTGGTAAGAAGCCCCCCCCCTCCCCCTGTTGCTAGGTGCCTGAAATTATCGTCTCAAATGTAAATATAAGTAACAAACAGCAATGTTAAAAAGTTCACTGGGAAATGAACTTTTAGTTGGTACATGATCAAATTTACTGAGAAGCCCTTCGGGCTTCACAGGATTTGATCACTTGACCAACTAAAAGTTCAGATCCCAGAGAACTTTTTAACATTGTTGTTTATTTCTTAATTACTTGCAGAAAAATTAGCATGTTCTTCACTACGCTCTATGTTTCCCATAAGAAAAAAAACATCAAGAAAAAAGGCATATTTCTCTCTCTCTCTCTCTCTCTCTCTCTCTCTCTCTCTCTCTCTCTCTCTCTCTCTCTTGGTTGCATATCAAATATAGCATTATTTCGTATGTCATTTACAGCCAATGAGTGCATATAAATGTGAAAAATAAATTGGAAATTTTCTAATATAATCTCTTTTTCAAAATAAATATCATTGAAACATTATACAGTTATTGACTGGGTATGAGGGCAACATATGATTTGTTGGACCTGAAGGCCGCAGGCCAAGGGCAACATTTTCACCTTCAGGTCCAACAAATCATATGTTGCCCGAATCCTTGTCTATAAGTGTTTTGTTATACCCTTCACTGCTCACTTAAGATTGATCAATTTAATCAATACATGCTATATTATCAATTATTTTATATGGAAAATTATGGCTTCTTCAGTAAATATAAAACATCAAGCTGAGAAAGAACAAAATCAATTATATATCTATTGTATCACAAAAATTATTTATCACTAAACATACTCTTCCCTTCTTCCTTACCTTGCTGTTAGCAACAACTCTTGTAGCTCTTAAGTTCGGCTATTTTTGCGTCGCCGATATTGAACGATGATTAATTACTTGTGACGTAACAGACGAGTGACGTTGCGGTCTAACAATTCTTATGTAAGACCGGTCAATAGTGAAATTGTTAGACCGATGCAATAAACAGTTCTTTTGTTGGACTGTTTATAAGTAATAAATATATAGAATGATATTTATAAGGGTATAACAAATCTTAATATCATTCTAAAATGTTTTTCAGGGGGTTAAAATTAGCTCTTATCATATGTGCATGAAGTACTTAATATAGGTAAATATTTACTGAGCATTTTCCAAAATCCACAAAGCGGGGTGTACACATGGTCTTTTTAAAAATTTATCGATAAGACTTAAATATAGGTGAATTTGTCGAGGTTATATCTGAAATCTTATATATATTTCTTATCGGTGGTGGTCCTGTCATAAACCTAGACGTTAGTTGTGTACGTTAGTACATATTCTTTAAACCAAAATTGATATGACTTTGCAAGAAAACAATACAAAATTGAGGAAAAAAACTGTAAGTATTGTATATGATCATTGGGATAAAATACATTAAGTTTTAATTTCTTTTTATAAAATATCTCAGGTACAAATAAATGTAATGGTTAGCTAGGGCCGTGGATATCGGCCTGGATAGCTCAGTTGGTAGAGCACCTGACTGGAGATACAGGGGTCCCTGATTCGATTCCCGGTCCAGCCATACATTTTCTCCTTGCCTGTTACAAATTTGGTGCCGTTGACCACCCCTGGAATAGCAGGTGAAAGTCCTGCCAGGGGCAATAAGAACTTGGGTTGTGTCTTCGAGAGCGAAGACCATTTAAGGAGGGAGGAATGTAGTGGTTACAGCCGTGGATATCGGCCTGGATAGCTCAGTTGGTAGAGCACCTGACTGGAGATACAGGGGTCCCAGGTTCGATGCCCGGTCCAGCCATACATTTTCTCCTTTCCTGTTACATAATCATAATGTCATACCAAATTTAGAATGAAATATCAAAATAGGAAGAATGAAAAATGCGACAATCACATTCAGTGATTAATCTTAATGAATAACAAAAGTACAAATTTGTTAACAGGGCATAAATAATGGACCCTAGAAATTCCAGAAGTGGGATTAGGTGCCAAGGAATAGTAAACATTCCTTGTTACCGGTCACACGTTACGGGGAAGGGTTGCATTTGTAATCTTCCAAAAAAATATTTGAAGTCTATTCTCAGTTTATTGTAGTATCATCTGTATTTAATTCAACCCATAATTCTCTATAATTTGTACGGAATACTTTATTTTATATATTTTCATACAGTGAAAATCAAAACACTTTGCATTTTTAAAACCCTTATGTTATCATCAAACATTTTTCAAAGGTAAAGAGAAATACAACCCACTTGAAACTGCAATTTATCAATATTTGGAACTCCAGTGCATACTGCTTTGTGTTCCTTTAAAGTTTTTTTTTCTATTCGTCATCAGATATGATCAACACGGAAAATTTACATTGACATAATAAAGAAATAGAATAAACATTCATACATTTAACAAAATGTTTGAATTATTTTCCATGGCAATTTTTATCGTGTTACAGATAATCAATGACTCCATATGGGGACCAATAGAGCTGTCTGACACATCATGGAAGATCATAAACACACCTGAATTTCAACGGCTTAGGTTTATCAAGCAGTTAGGGGGATGTTATTTTGTGTATCCTGGTGCATGCCACAACAGATTTGAACATTCTATAGGGTATTTTTTTAATGTGACATACTTATGTCTTTCTATGATACAAAATTTAACAAGAAGAACAGCTGTACTGAGGAGAAGTTGACAGAGGCTTTGTATTCATTTTTTTCAATTTATTTATATTTTTAATTTTAGTTTTTATTTATTCATTCTTTGTAGAATTTATATTAAAGGTACTTGGACACAGATTTGAAGTCAGTCTTTTTTCTATGATATTACGACATATATATTTTAATAGCATTTCACACAAAAATTAATTAAAAATCTTATTTCATTTGAAAGTTATAGGTAGTTTTCATATGACCTAAATTTAGCAAAAGTTAGCTCCCGTCGGCAGCCATACTGGAGGCCCAAATGCTCATATTCCTTCATTGTTCAACTAATTTTAAATTTTTATATTTGCGATTTTGAATTAGGAATCATTATTTTTCTGAAGTATATAAATTTTTGGAAGCCTCCTTTATTAAAAAAAATTATTTTATAAAGATTTTCCACCAAATATTTCTGCTATATTTTCTTAAACTTGGTAAGACAAAGAGGAAAACTCACCGAGTCGACCTCCAATATGGCGACCAACGGGAGGTAACTTTTGCTAAATTTGGGTCCATCGAAAACTATCTATTAAAACTTGAAATTTTTTGCGGGTTTGATTGACACATCCTTGCACTTTCACAAATTTTAACCTTATTCTTAATCCTTAGGAAAAGTGGCAATCTTGTGGTGTATTAATGAGAAATATTAAAACTTCTATCCAGAAAAATAGTTTTATTCCGAGTACAAATGTTAGAAAGCAAAACTCCCTCACAAGTATCGTCATTCCTAACTAAGGGTTGCTTACAGAGTTTAGCAAATCGAGCACAATCGTGTTATGTACACAGTTTTTGTAAACAGGGCTCGAGTTCTGTTATTGTTTATATTTAGAATTCACCGGGTGCGTTCAATCGTCACAGTCTGCTTACCACAACTGCACGGACTGACAATATATTGTGTGTTTGTTTTGCTTTCGAACATGTCTACTCTGAATTTTCTGGATTATAGTATTAATGTTTTTCATTTATACACAACGAGATTGCCACTTTTCCTAAGGATTAAGAATAAAATTAATTTGTGAAAGTGCAAGGATGTGTCAATCAAACCCGCCAAAAAATTTGAAATTTTAATATCTTTTATACGAAATAAGATTTTTAATTATTTTTGTGTGAAATGCTATTAAAATCTATAAGTTGTATTATTATAGAGAAAATAATAACTTCAAATCTGTCCAAGAATCTTTAAGATTTGTGGTCACAGGTTTTTTTTTAAAGCAAGACGTCGTTTCATGCATTTAAATTTATACATGTATAGCATCACATTTTTGTATTGTTTTGTGATCATTGACATTCTTCTGGACACTTGTATTATGTATGATCATTGACACTGAGAACAATATTATTATGTAACTTGGTCATTTATATACAGTGTAACTGTTTTAAAAAATTATATTGTTAAAACAAGAATGTTTAAATTGTACATTTATGTATGTTGAAATGCTCCTCGGGGCCCTTGATTGGTAAATAATATCTTATCTTGTATGGTAATATTGGGCATATAGACTAAATCTGCCCCTTTCAGTACACACATAGTCTGAAGCATGCACTTAAAGGACAATACAGTACTTCGAAAGATAACATATAATATATAATTGATTATGAAAAAGTCTATTGCTAATTTATACAGTTTCATTATCGTAACACACTCAATTTTTTTCTTATTAGAACTGCACACTTAGCAAGAACTCTTGGCATAGAGTTACAGAAAAATCAACCAGAACTTGACATAACTGAAAAAGACATAGAATGTTTAGAGATTGCTGGACTTTGTCATGATCTAGGTTTGTTCTATATTTATTATTATAAGCATCGAAAATTGATAAGTAAATGTTATGTTTAAATATTGCTACCTTTATCTCGCAGGACACGGTGCCTTTTCCCACTTGTTTGACCTGCAGTTTATCAAAAAAGCAAGACCTGGATATGAATCGGAGGTAACCGCTCGTTTAAAGATACTGTTAATCTCTAATAAGTCTCTTATTTACCTAGATGACAGCAGGTTACAAGTATATATTAACTCTACAATCTATCATTTTACAGTCTGTCTAAGCTTTTGTTCTTTTATAAAAAGAAATAATAATATTGTAAAAATATTTATTTCCAAGTTATTTTCAAATAATATCTTGATCAAAGTACAGTAAATGTAGTATGTTTAGGGCATACAATATTTAGCGAAAAATGACTTTTTTAAAAGTTAGCGGAAGCTTGATTTAACGTAATTCTTGATGTTCTTATTCATGTGTCAATGTTTAAGACATTAAGGGATGTACTTGAATTAGCGGAAGTGTCTTTTCACCAAAAGCGCTAAAAAGAATACACCACCAAATGTAATACGTTTACAGTTAGTTGAAGATAAATGAAAACCAACAAAATCTATGATTTTACATTCATTCCATAAAACTAGTACAAGCAAGATAAATGACGTCAAAAACCGATGTATCCAGCATGTGAAGCAATAATTAGCAATGGACTAACCAAAAGCTAATGTTTATTTGAAGTGTGCCGAAACTAATACCGAAGGGAGGAACTTGGTTTATCGTGCATGAGACACTACAAAATGTATTCATATTTTACCCTGGGGAAAAACTATGAATGCTTAAAATCACTTATTTGCCCTGAAAAATCCAAATACACTGATCACTGCGAGTTTAAAACCACTTTCTGCACCTCAGAAAGGGTATTTTTAATCGAGTTATAGAGAATGCATTTAACACGTACCTATGGAACCTTTTAGTAATCTTTTACACATTTTGTACTCAGCTTGAAACTTCACAAAGGACAAGATAGGGTAAGACCAATATTTGGCCCCCGATTTGGGTGTCTTTCAGAATGATCCAACAGTTTATTGATAAAAACCTGTTGTCATCCCTGCCACGAAATGAGTTTTGATTTTAAGATTTAGAATATGCAGGGGTCACAGTGAGGTCAGGAAATAGGTCAATTTTCGAAATTTCTCATTTTTGTGCAAATTTTCATTAATTTTACAGCACATTTTCTTTCGGAAAACTAGAGCACACGCGTGCCTATCTACCAATTTTATATATTTTATACACTGATATCAGATGCAGTTTATGTGTAAAAATCTCAGATAGGCAATCTTGTGCTCTATGTTTTCCGAAGAGAAATGTATCCCAAATATGATGGAATTCCACCAGAATTGAAGAAATTCGGGAAAATGTCCTATTTCTGCACCCTCTAGTGGCTTCTATGTAAGTTTTGAATCAAAATTAGTGCTCGTCTTAAAGTAAGCATCATTTTAACTTCTTAACTACCAAATATCACAATTTTCCCGGTGTTCTGATTTTTATATCAAATAAGGGGCCAGATTCGGCTTTAACCCTACCTTGTCCTTTGTAACTTCAGTCGAAATTATTATTATAAGTTACTCTAACGAGGCTTATTTTATTATACAATTCAAAAGAAAGGCTTGGACTGGTCGTTGGTAAACCAATATTATTGTAAACTCAGTTCACTATTAATCGTCATTATACTTTCAGTACACTTCTTTTAAATACTAGAAATGTTTCTGGAATCTAGTTCTAGAGAAATCGATGCCTGTTGACTTCTTTCACCTGTTTGATTTTGTATTTTATTTAGAATCACTATCAACATTTCAACATTCTTGTGTTTTGATTCTAGTTGTTTCTTTTCATTTTTACTTTTTCAGAAAATAAAAAAATATATTTATATCATTTTATAGCATGAAGACGCATCTTTGAAAATGCTAGACAGAATTTTCAAAATTTTCAATTTAGAAGAATTAAGCGAAAATAGCAGAACTTTTATCAAAGAACTTATAAAGGTAAGTTTGTTGCCAGAATCTTTATTTTAAAAAATACTCAAATAACTTTTTTTTTTTGGTTCTTTGTAACTGTAACAAAAAATTACTTTTAAAATCGGTTTTAATTTGATTTCTGATATCCATTTATACCCAGACTTTTTTTTAAATTTCAAACAATATCTTTTTTTTATTCTTTTGATTTAACAGAAACCAGAAGGTTCATATAAAGGAAGGTCAAAAGAAAAGCACTTCCTCTACGAGGTAAAAAACCTTTAAATTATCTTAGGCATGATTGTAATGTAACTAAATATTCTGAATGGAGTAAAAAAGAAACACAGATGAAATATATTTGAGTAAGTGGCTGAACATTATGAAAATCTGTAAAAATGTGTATCTTGATAATTGTGTGTAAAAATCAGAGTTTAAATTATTCAACTGTGAAATGTATAACCCCACAACCGTTCACGGTAGCTCAGTTGGTAGAGCGCTCGCTCCGTGATCGGGAGGTCGTGAGTTCGTAACTCGGTCGCAACTGACCTAGTCGTTAAAATGGGTAGCAACTGTTCCTTCGCCATGCGTTCGGCACTTTGAAATGAAAGTTGCAGGTCCTTCGGATGAGACCTTAAAAACCGAGGCCCCGTGTCAGCGGCAGGCGTTGGCACGATAAAGATCCCTCACTGCTCAATGTCCCTGAGTGCCGAGTACAGGTCAAAATTTGAAGCCCTTCCCGGCATACGGTGACGTTTCCATATGAGTGAAAAATTCTCGAGAGGGACGTTAAACAGTATATACAATACATACATATAACCCCACGTAGGAGAATTTTTTTCAAAGAGCAAAAACACGTGCATATTTATGTCAGGTTTTCTTTTATAACTTGTAGTACTTCACGTCGTTTTTCCCTACAGTGCATGTAATCATGGCACGGTTTATGGAATTTTTCATTGGATCTAGATGTCGAATTGCCCGAAGAAAAGGCAACACCGTGTTTCTGTACAATTTTTACAAAGAACACATTTTATCTTGTTAAAGAAGAAAAGGAATGTTTTTTTTATTCTACCGTGACGGTGGCGTTATCGCATAGCAAAGTCATAAAGAAAATGTTTTTTTTAATCTTGCAGCCTGTTTAACCGTCACTGCATTACCACTGAAACTGATTCTTATACATTAAACAATTATTGCCTAAGCATTACAATTAATGTAAAGCTGAAAGAAACACATTGCTCTATTTTTGTCCGTGATCTTGTCAACTTTACGTCGGTGATATTTTCAATGTGCATCGTAAACCTAGTTTTTCAGCACATCCCACCAGAAAAATGTCTTCAGAGTTTGAGAGGACCTTTTTGTACAAAATCAACCACAGGCTCCCGAGATTACTTATTTTCCTTATATTAAGATATACCCCATACCCAATGATACACCTTATTAAAAGGTATGGGGTTCATTTTACATAAGAAAAATAGATAACGTGAGGTTTGCATGCCTGTGAATTAAATCATCTAACGTTCGTAATTTGAAATTTTCTCCAATCGAAAGCTATGTGGGACTAATTGGACGCTAAAGTTTGAAGGCGTTGATCTTGAGCAACAAATACGGCCTAGCTGCAGATTTGTAGCGTTATGGTTTTATATATTTGTTTTTGACCATAACGTACAGATCCCGTAATGTAAAAAACGTGCAATTTACGGCGCAATATTTTTTGCGCACTTTTGGGGAGAATTTCTCCTCTTTCTAGCACTGGTTAATTAACTACCTTTCACTCCCTAATTCTAGACACATTCTGTAGCCAATATGTATATTTTACCCACCTACCAATCATTTATAGATGTCTCTACGGGCAATAAACTCGCTTTAAGTGAATTTCAACATCTAACAAATAATTTTAATCAAGCGAGTTTATCACTTGTAGAGACGACCATAAAGTGTTGGGAGATGGATTGATTGATTGATTGTATATTGTCTAACTTCCCTCTCGAGAATATTCCACTCATATGGAGACGTCACCGTATGCCGGTGAAGGGCTTCAAATTTTTACTTTCGACACTCAGGGCAGTGAGGGATCTTTATCGTGCCAACGCCTGCCGCTGACACGGGGCCTTGGTTTTTAAGGTCTCATCCGAAGGACCTGCAACTTTCACTTCAAAGTGCCGAGCGCATGGCGAAGGAACAGTTGCTACCCATCTTATCGACTAGGTCAGTTGCGGCCGAGATACGAACTCACAACCTCCCGATTACGGAGCGAGCGCTCTACCAACTGAGCTACCGTGAACGGTTTGGGAAATGATTAGTTAAATAATGTGCCTAGAACTTGGGAGTGAAAGGTAGTTGTTTGACCAATGCTAGAAAGTGGAGAAATTCTAACCAAAAGTGCGCAAAAATATTGCGCCGTAAATTGCACGTCATTGCATTACGG